ATGTGAAATTTCAAAGGATTAAATACATACACATATGCTTATGCAACTCATAAAAATTACAGCCAATGCCAGACAGAGCTGAGATATAAATTAAGCCGTCACTTTGGTAAATCATCCCCTTTGATGGCAGCAAAGTGTTTAATAAATTACAGTCGACTACGAAAACAAATCAGCATTTTTAACTTTGAACGTATTTTTGTCCATGTTCTGGTCCTACATGACATATGAGTAAAACATTTGTCAAAAAAAAAAAAGCTGAACAAGTTCTTGTGAGAGAAAAATACTGGAAAAATTGAGAGCAATTTGTTGGCAGCAAAAAGATAAAAAACTTAAGTGAAAGTTTCAACTGGTTTCGGTTAGCAGTTAAAAGTTAAGGCAGTCAAAGTTACATAAGGGAGCTACATCAACTCGTGTCAGTATCAGTTTTAGTTATAAACCGCAGCTGAAACCCACTTTGAACAGAAAATGTTTAAATTTCCAATGTGCATTTAAATATAAAATTTAATCAAAGTAATAAAAAGCTTTAAAATTGGCTTTGATATATATTCAACAAATCTAAACGTGAATTAAATTTCTGCAAGGTCATAAAAATATCGACTGAAATATAAAATTTAAGCTATCACTTAAAACTTTTGCCGTTGGCCCCCTCAAAGTTTCACCGAGACAATTCCCCAAGTGTTATGCCCACGGCGAATGGCGTGTGTATGTGTGCGTGTTAAATGCTTTTGACCCAAAGCCAAAGTTAGAAAACTCGACAAGAATTTCAAATTGATTACTATAATTTGCTGTGGGAACTTTTGTGGCCTAGACATTTTCGACATTTAAATAAAGATTTGCAAACCAAACACGCCGAAAGCGTTAGCAACAAAACAAAATAAAAAGTAAAAATTCACTCGAATAGAGAGAGCAAGCAAACTTTTCAAAACAGCAGCAAGACCAGACGAAAACAATTTCAAACGTTTGAGAAGCAAAGGTAGCCGTTTGCAAAGGAAAGTGAATGACCCTAGACGGAGACTAGTCGGGAATCCCTTTGACATGGCCAGAATGCATTGCAATACCCACGACGACTTATTTAGTTAATACATGTAACTTTTGCAAATATCCTTCATACTCTGAAGCAATTCAAAACTTGTTTGAAAAGGTTGATAACATTTTTCTCAGTTTGTGTTAAGAGTGAACATGATAGCAAAATGTTCCATGAAAAATACAAAGCTGTTTTTGAATTTGCTTAGTTTATCTGTATAGGATAACGATATGTGCTTAACACGAAGTGAATTTCAACAAATTGGTATTTAAAATATTATAAGCGCCCATTAGGAAATAAAATTATATACAAATTTGTCTCATCAAACTAATTTTGCTGACCACTGTATGATAAGTTGTATAGGATACATAATTTGATAACAGTGTATATGTGTGAGTGTGTGTGTTTGTGTGTTTGCGTGTGTGCTAACTTTTGTGTGCCCCGCAACGTATAATTAATATGTTTCGGTTAAACACAAGGCTTGGCAGTAGGTCCTAATAATGAAGGGTTTTACATTATTAATCCCTAGTCAATTTAAAGCAAGAAATTTTTGGAGCATGAATTGAAGGAGGTTTCCATAAAATGTGATATTCCTATTCTGTGTATATCATAAGAGAGCCTAACATACATGCCAAATTTGGTGTATCCAGCTCTTATAGTTTTTGAGTTATGTTTAAAAACCAAATTTCATAATTGATTTTTATCGATATTTTGAAAAGATACCAGCAAAAAGAGACAACTCGTTTTGCATATGGTACAGGAGAATATATATATGTTTAAATTTAAAGTCTTAAGCCTTTTTAGTTTTCGAGATTCACGCGTTCATAACTTAATCGACTCAGATCGTTGTTCGGATCAAGAAGTATATACTTTATAGAGTCGGACATGCCTCCTTCTGCTTATTACATATACCAGCTCAAAAGCAGTATACCCTGTTTTACATAATTGTAATGGGCATAGGGTATTCAAAAGAAGCAACAACTGACCTCAACTAGTTCTAATCATAATAAAATGTATGACATTGCACTTCGTTCCCGCCAGCTTGTCATCTGTTCAAGAGATATAGCTAATACACAAGGAAATAGAAAATTTCACAACCAGAAGCAGATTGATAAAGAACCACAACAGCATTCAGTTTGGCCATTGACTATTCGCAACTCTGGGCGTGTCAGAATTGAGGTTTGCCAATTTAAAATATTGCCTTGCAACGCTTGCACATACTTTTATTTCAATCTAAATAATTCATTTAATTATTTATTGGCCTTTGTTGAATTTGCAGCTTCCACGGTGAACGCAACGAGTGGAAATAAATCCGCATTAGCGCAGCGAGCGTGAAATACAGTTTGAAGTAACAAAACAAATAATTTCAAATTCTGCATTTCATTAGTAAATTGTGTTTAGTTTTGACTTTATATTGTTTGTTAGGAATTATTATTTTTACATTAAAAGTAATTGTTTGCTTAAAAAGTATTTGATTTCCGGTGGTAATATTTAATTTTATGTAGCATAGTTTTTGGTACCACTTGATAAATAAATGCATTGCAAAGCGACTACACAAATTACGAAAATATAACTTTATCGGGGTCCTGAAACTAAACAGAAAATTACACAAATATATTCTAAAAGCGATTAATGTCGATGTTCAAGTGTGTAGTTACCTTTAATTGGATTGCATGCAGCGATATGTCGAAGGAGAACGACATTTATGGCAAAAGCAGGCAGTCCTCTCGAATAAGCAGCTTCATCAGCACCAGCAAACCAAAAATACTGTTTAAGCCAGCCTGAACAGTATTTCCAAAACCGGAAAAGCCCTCATCCTGAGGAACGTCATCATTCACCTCATTTGAGGACAAAGTTCACTTGATTGTGGGGCCATCGACGAGTGAAGCGGACCAGTTAACATTGCCAGCACTTCCGGTATTTGTATTCATGTCAACGTCCACAGAGGACTTGCCTCTGGTGTTGCCTGTGGTTAACAAGAGCAGAGCGGAAGCAACTGAAGCAGCCAATTTTGCTAAGCCCAATGATTGGCAATCTTCTGGATATTTGTTCTGCAGCAGTTTTGTCATCTCTGTTTAAATGAAATTAAAATTTGCCTATATAATAAAATTTACTTAAATTTATTCCACCGTTTTTTCTGTTTAATTAACCGCAGAATTGTAAAACAAATGACGGCATGTCCATGTTTATGCGAATGACAGCTGTACGTAGTTTTTCATGACAATGAATACTAAAAGGAACTGGGATTAATTTTTTCAATTAATGCAAACATGTTATTTATACTTATATATTTAATAGCACAATTTATTGTATTTGTTTAAAATTAATTGCTGAACAGAATAACTGCTTGCATTTTTAAATTGTTTATTTTTCGCTTCATTGAATTGATAATTACAAATGTAAAGTGATTGCAATCACTTCATTGATTACATTGAACCATGAATTAAATCATTGATCACAATTATATTCAGATAAATTTCCCCAACTCAAGCTTCACTCGACAGCTCATTACAACACAGCCAAAAACATTATTTACGAAAAAATATGTCTCTCCAGATTTGGTAAAAAATTAAATTTGTATGAGTGGAAGCATTGTTAAGAAAATCTTAACTCCAGCTATCACCTGCAAGTCCATGTGCTATCCACTGAAAAGACACAGGATAGTAAATAGTCAAACTGATTTAAGAACTGCAGGTGAAATAAATAGTATTTTTTTGGAATATTTACTTACAAATTGACTGCAAAAACTAGCATCCAAATCCCATGAAAAATATGAGTAAAGCCAAATATTATAAAACATTGCAATCCAATTTGTATAACAATTTAATGATTGCCTGAAAAAATATCGCACTAAGAGAATGAAAATTCTGTAGCACTTAGGTTGGAGCATTTATAGAGCTTTTCTTAAATTTTCCTTAGTTATCCAATTAATTTTCACTTGTTAGGCAGGTCGAGGTCGCACTACGCACAAGTGGGCTAGACGAAAATAGCTTGGCTGCCGCTCTAACCAAGAAGCCTCGCAGGATACAAATGCGACAAAGTCAATAGGCCAAGAAATTTTGTACAAACACAAGCTGAATACAATTAAACAGGATTGCAGATTGAATAAGGCATTTACATTTAACTAATTTGTAGATATATGTACTTTGCATATGTGTTATTTCGAATGTGCTCATTACGCAAACACCTGGCTCTATGGCAGCTGAGCCCACAATTAGAAGCCGTCCAAATACACGAACCACTTATTAATTTAGAATACGAGAATGGTGAGAAGGAACTTTGACATCAAAGCAAGGCAGGCAGAATAATTGTTACTTGGCAGCCCATTGCATAACATACATAAATACTTTACGTAACTTGCATTTACTGTACTTCGTGAGGACTCTTGAAACTTTGGAAATTACACAAATCCAAAATGAGAAACGTATGAATGAAGGATACAAAACGCATAAAGATTTGCTCTGACCCAGCGTTTCACGTTGTCAGCTCGTAAATGGATTTTTACGGCTTCCGGTAAAAATCAACAGCATTTCCTCTGGAAAGTGCACTAATGTTGTCCGTTAACAGTCCCTTGACACGCATGCCGACAGCCGAGACAGTCGAGTTAAATAGATAAAGCGAGTGAATTTGAATTCCACCCTACCACGGCCCAAACCTGCCATGCGCTAACTGACAGTAACGTATAATTGGGTATCCATTTCTAGGCAAATACATTTTGTTTTCAGCTCTCCACCGCCCCGATCTGCCAAAGATAGTGATGCCATCCCTGTGCTAGTTATCAATTACCTGTCCGACTTGCCACTCTCTAGAATTTGATATGATGCCTAGAGAGTTGTACAGTATACTCTGGCCTTGGGGATAGTAATAGATGCTAGAAATAGAAAAAATATTTCTGAAAGCTGCCAACAGTTAAAATTTGCTTGATATTAGAGTGACAGTTACACGTTACAGAGTAAAATAATTAAGTTAATTGAAATACTTTAAGATCACCTTATATTTCCAAAAACTACAGAAATTTACTTTTTTACACGGAAATATTTTTTCAGACTTTAATAGAAGAGTTCTTATGCCAGCCAAAGAAGATATTCGTTTTGTACTCTGCCAATGTTGCTGCCAGAAAAGATTTGAATTATAAAAGGTTCTCTTAAACAAAGCTAAAGAAATCTACGCTTGGGAAATCTAGTTACATACCTCTCTTTTTTAAGATGGTAAACAGGCATATACGCTGGAATTCCTGCTTATGTCTGCTGCATAAATTTGCAAAATTAACAACGCTTTTTCACACATATTTTGTTTAGAATCGTATCGCTGAATTAAAAAAAGTCGAATTTCTACTTTATAGACAGGAAATGGATCGACAGCTAAACACTTTAAATTTGTAGAAGAGAATCATACACTTAGTCGCGACTTAATGCCAATTGTACCAATGGCAGCACCTTAATGGACGATAAGTCGGCCAAAATGGCTTCGATGCTGTCAAGTGAAGCCACCTGCATTATGCTGTCCTTTCGAAAACTCAATATGATGATGGCAAATAGTGGCAATATCTCCAAGCTATCAAAACCGAGTACCTGCAAAGCGAAAAAAAAGTTAACGATAAATTTCAAGACGAGCAGCTATTGCAATGAAGTGCTTACCAAGTCCCACAATACCAGCAATTGATCGGGTGGCAAATGACCAGAGAACCCGCGCATAAGCCATTTGAAAACTACACGAAGACTATTAACAAAGAAAACTTGTCAAATTGGAAGTAACAAAATCGTAGATAGCACTCACGGTTGTATCTGTAGCTCACGAAAGTGCGACCACAGCTGTGGCTCGTATGTCTGCAGCAGCTTCTCGAATAGCAGGCACAGGCTAACAATGCCCTGCGGATGCGTATTGATCGTGGTCAATCGGTGGCAATAGCGTATGTAAAAGGCCCGAAATGTATAATAAAGACACACCGGCGAATCATACAGATAGCAAAATGGTGCCGCAAACATGCAGATGCCGTGAAAAGGCACCACGCCCGAGGGTGGACCCTCATAGGTCTTGCCCTTCACCGGAAACGATTCATACTCCACACAGTTGGCAATGTCCGTGTCCCGCGAGAAGCATAACAGCACCTGGTAGAGCACATCCTCGAAAACAAAATACTGGTCATCATTTGAAGCCGTCAGCTGTATATCCTTAAAGACGAGCTTATCAACAATATGATCGGTGGTCCATACGCTATTACGCAGCTTCTGCCAATTCTCAATGTCCTGTTAGGACAATTAGATAATACGACTGATATTACAATTACATTTTTCTTAACAAATATGCATGCAATCTTAGGACCCTATCAGGCATAAATAGACTATCTATAGTCTAGGTGTATCTTCCATTGCCGAATTGTTCTTCATGAAAATGATGTAAGCCAAGTATTATTTTTATTTGGTACTCACATAATCATGCAGCTTGCTACCCAGCACAGATGCCCAGAGGGCCCCACGGTAGGGTGCCGGGGTGCAGCCCTTCTTTAAGTACTGCTGGCACATTGGGGCGTGTCTGCTGTCCAGGATACGCTGGCACTGCACCGCCAAGTCAAGCATACTGTAGGGATCGCCACGCAACAGATCCGCATAATGTGTTCGCAGTTCAAAGAGATTTTTAACGGGCAGCGCAATATGCGAAAATTCCCACTGCGGTATTTGGCTGTAAAATAAAGACAAGATTATATGCTTAAGATAAATAAATTCAGCTTAAAGTACATACTCGGAATTTTCATTGGGCCTAGTGGGTCCCTTTAGCGATAGTAAAACTTCCAACAAATCCTTGGGCGCATATACCGGACGATAATTAGCAAGATCTGCAGAATGAATTCATATAGTTTAATGATACACGAAATCTGAGTATACATATGAGGCTTACCCATATTGTAATTGCTCAACTCATTCCACTTGGCCACAAAATCCTCGCGATCGGTGCTGATGCGCGGCTGGCCGTGCAGCGGAACCTTCAGCTCGCCGCACATTGCATTTAGGCTCTTCCGCACACGCCGATCCCATAGCACGCCGGCACGCTTCAGATAGCCCAGCGGATCGCTCTGTGCGGATTTCTAAGTGGAGAGTAAATAAACATCTTGTCCGCTTCGGCATGTCGGTCATCTAGGGTATCATTACTTACCGTTGTTTGTCGGACATCTCCAACATCGAGTTTTTTCAAGCGACTGCGTACCAGATTGTAAATCATATTGCGAATTTCTGTCTCCAGACCCGCCGCCTTGATGGCATCCTCCAGCGTGTTGCGCATATCATTCTTGTCGACGCCGGGACTGGCAACGAGACGCTGCAGTTCCTTATAGATAGGCTCATAGCATTTGGTATTCTTAATGGCTGCTATAACTTTCGCGGTCGTGTGGTGTATGCTACTATCCTGTAGCTCCTCCATGCCTGCTTACTTCACAGGTTTGTCCTCTTAGCCTCTCTGCGTGGTTGTGCTGTTGCTGCTGTTCCTATAAAGCCGAAAACATTGGCGCGTTGAACAGTCGCTTGATTTGTATCGATCAAACTTGCGTCGCCTGCTTTGATTTCCATTTATGTATGAAACACAACTACACACGTACACGGCTCCGGGCCAGTTTATGAAGTCAGAACTTTTGAGCGCTTCTTAGTTACGGAATGCAACCACTTGTTTGGCAGCTTTATCGACGCAACGGACCCACCACTCGAGACGCAGGTATTGGACAAGGCAATCGCAACGTACGTTGCAGACTAAATTCCAAACTTTAATTAAAGCTTTCAAATCCTAAGAAATTTACACGTGACAGCTTCGTTATCGCTGAACAAATCTTGACTACAAAAAGCGTTAAGCCAAGGTATTGTTCATAATTCTCTACACAGAACAATGTTTAATATATGTATGCATATCCACGCTGGATACAATTATAATTATAGCGAACATAAATAAACGATACTTCGTACATATGTATGCACGTCGAAGTTGGCTGGATTATATGGGTTCCATTGGAACTATGGAGCCAATTTTTCCTATAGAGCTATATGATATGAAAGTGCTAGCACGGTGTAATTAATATATGCCAAGTTTAGTCAGAATATCTAGATAAACATAAAATATTTACATACAAGAACTTAATTTTCGCCCGACGACTCCTATTACTGCTATATATGTACATACATACATATGCACATATGTACATGATAAATGGGGAGCATAGTATAATTAAAAAATGCCCCGTTTGCTCAAGATATCTTGATAAACAAAAAACAACCTACTTTTTATAAAACTCTATTCAATTTTATAAAAAATTCATACATACATACATTACCCAGAGGAAGCTCATTATCAAAGAAAACACAAAAGTGTATTTATAACACTTGTTAACTAAAGAGTTAACAGCCGCGACGTCTGTATTTTGATACATACGTCTAGGTGTGCGAAGCAAATTGCTATTAACGCTTCAACAGCTTTTAAATATAGATGGTACCGTTGCAGCAGTGTTATAAGATACAGCTTACGCATTAAGAACCAGTTCAAATTATATTAGAGAGTTATTATAAGTTAGAAAAATATAATCCGAATAATATAAAAACCTCTCTATTCTTCAACATACTGAGCTGTGCTACAGCGTACCTTGTTCTTGTGCATGTTTCTGTGAATTTCAAAAAGTTTGTTTCGTTGCCTCTATCGCCTGACGTAAACTTTTACAGCCCCTTTGCTTTTACCTAAATTTACCCCATAATATTACCATGACATTAGCTATCAATATTACCTTTGCGGCTGTTATGTTATGTAATTAGTTCCGCATAAAGCAATTAAAAATAATGTTCCAGTAACATGGACTGATTTCGTAAGGATACTTTAATAGCCTATAAACAAAAAATTATAACGATAATATTGTTAGTATCATTCTTATCTCTTGAAAATATCAATCGCATTACTGTTCTACTTTATGTTTAGCATGATGTCTTTGAGCGAGAAACCCTGCTTATCGAGATTGTTAATCGCAGCATCACTCGCATACGTTCTCGCAGTCAGACTGCGATCCAAGGTCGTAAACTCCTTGCCTACCCTTAGGTTGGCATCTGTCAATATTTTAGCCACATAGTCACCCACATGTGTGCCTAGTCCGAAACCAATTATAATCACTTCATTTGATAGCACCAGTCGATTACGCACTAGAGCTCTTAAGTACTCTGCAATGCATTGACTCGCATGATCTGCATTATGCACAGACTCGGAAAAACAGGGATAGAAGACAAGTTTCGAGTAGTCAATGGAGATGATGTTGTTAGTGGGTACGGCCAGCAACCGGTCTCGGGCGTCAGGAATGGGTGGGGTATTGTAATTACTCGCGAAGCTATGTAGCAGCACCGTAAGCATCCTATTTGTATTGGCAGGGAAATCCTGCAAATTCGCTGGATTCAATAGACGTCCACTTGGATTTTCTCTGCTATTAAAATTGGTAAATTAAATTAGTTGCTACATAAAAAAGACAACTTATCGCTTACTTATGGAGTACGAATGAAATATTCGAATTTGGACACACATTGTCCTGCACCCGAAAGCAAGGGAGATATAGGTTGGATCTGGGTCCCATCAGCGTTGAATTGGCGCTGGCTGCGACAAAAAACTCAAAACTAAAAGAACCTTGTAGAGAAAAAAAATTACACTAAAAATTAGTTTTCCGTTTGAAAATTCAGTAATCCTTTAGGTACCAAGAAGAAGCCACAGCTTGAGCATGTTGCTGTCTTCTCTGCTAAAGAGATTGTAACTGAAAATCGTACCTTCAACTCGTTAGTCTTTAAATGAAAATGTCATTATATATGCGTGACTCCATCTATTAGTTAAGCTGTTTATATAAAATATTTCCTGGTTTTAAATTTACAATCGTAATACATTGTGCTTAACATCACTAAGGTATCGCAAAGGTATACAAAATATATTCATTTCTCTAAGAATGAAAATGTATCTGCGAATCCGATATGTATATTTAATCCAAACCGTTCTTGAGCTCCCAAGAAAATAAAATAAATATCAATATATAATCAATCTGGAAGGCTAATAGGGTTAACCAAAAAGTATCACCACACACCAAATTTTAGTTGCAAGGAATAGAATTAATAATAATATTTAAAGCACACACTCTTTGGAACTGTTAAAGCATAGCAAACTGCAACAATCTTCGGCACGATGGCAACTCATGCCAACTTGTTGGCAATAATATTTCGTCCTTTCAAAACGTTCGACCTGCAAGTGGATAATAAGCTTGTCGAAAGACTAATAAGTCAATTTTATATACACAATACTTCTGTCCAATTTCTCAAGGGTTTTATCACTAAGCCTTTCAATAATTTATATCTCCATGAGTAGCTTTTCCATCCTGTCATCCTCAGTTGATTACTTTTCATATTTGCAGAGATCGCCAAATACAGTACTAGTACTAACAGGAAAATGCCCTCAGACCGTTTCATTTTGGATTTAATTTTCTACTGACTACAAGGCTACGTATATTTTTCGATGCTTTTATAAGCAGCTCTGCAGATTCAACAGATTCTTTAATGCTTGTCAGAAAACATATGTGAATTTAGTTTAATTTAATTGTTATTAGTGCAAATAATTGGACAATGGACTTTATTTAATTTTGTTGTAAGTGTGTAATAAATACGGACAAACTTGATAAATTATAAAGATAATAAGTAATAATAAATAAGATAAAATAATAAAAGTGCAACAATAGGTTCGAATACAAAGATAGGCTCGTTTATACCGAAGATTCTCAATATTAGGTTCAATAAAATATATAAATATTTTTACTTTTATTTTATTTTATAATAATTGTTATTATTTTGCTTATAACTAAAAATAATATACAATTGCACGCTATGTGCTGTCGAAATTTTGAAACAATTGTGCTGAGAACATTTATTTACTTTTTCAAAAACAGCTTTTATTTCAGCAGTTAGTTAAACAGACCTTGCGGATTAGCTATACAAATTAATTATTATTGCCCTAAAACCAGGTGCACATCACATTTGCTTCGGTATATAAAAGCTTCTAAAACTTATATCTATAGTTAGTATAAACGTTGAGTTTGTTAAATGAAAAATGCAATTTATTAAAATTGTTGCTGTACTCAGCCAGTTGCTGGTGCTTTTCACAGTTGGGAATAGCGCAAATCGTATCGGGAAAACAGGAAGGGAAAGATACCTTTGGAAGGCTACTATTGCCAATAAACCATTTTTGATGGATCGTGCTAAGAACCTGACAATTGTACAGGCTGAATAACATTGAAAATTATTTGCGTCATATGATTATCATTTTATTACCCACAGCATGATCGTATAGCTCTGATGGATTCATGTAAAGGCATTGGCGGTAAGTGTCACCTTGCCGAGGAGTGTTGCAGTTTGCAATGCGTGATGCCTTTTGGAGAGTGTGTGAACTATTAAGCCGAACAAAGAAATTAAAAACAAAACAGAATCTGGTTAAATCTGTTCTCAAAGAAAATAAGAGCGCCTATGTATACTCTTTTTGTGAAATAAAAATCGGATGAGATTTGCCTGAGTTATGAGAGTGCGAAATTTTGGCTATTATTATTATTATTATTATTATTATTATTATTATTATTATTATTATTATTATTATTATTATTATTATTATTATTATTATTATCATTATTATTATTATTATTATTATTTTTATTATTATTATTATTATTATTATTATTATTATTATTATTATTATTATTATTATTATTATTATTATTATTATTATTATTATTATTATTATTATTATTATTATTATTATTATTATTATTATTATTATTATTATTATTATTATTATTATTATTATTATTATTATTATTATTATTATTATTATTATTATTATTATTATTATTATTATTAATATTATTATTATTATTATTTTCACATGAACATACAAAGAGTCAAATCTTGTGAACATCGGATGAAACTGAGCGAGCTATAGGGGTCGTAATTATCGTCCTTTGCCTATATAGGATATTGAGGGTTCCATTTTCTCATGAATTTTGACCGAGAATAATGTTGCCAAAATGATCTAGATGCCAAACCATGAACAAAGAGGCAAGCATCGTGAAAATCGGATGCGTGAAAATCGGATGACTGAGTTATGGGGGTGGGAAATTTGACCTATATACAGGACCTATATAGGCCTATATAGGATAATAACGGGTATACCCCGGCCTTACCCGTGGCACGTTTAAAATAGATTTGCTCAAAGTTATTTGAAAATATTTTTTAAACCGATCGGCGGTATTTGCCAAAGCGCTTAAATACGTATTCATTAAGATCTTCTTGTCCTTAAGATTAATTTAATTAATTTTACGGTGAAACGTCACTCACCAAATCTTTGACCCCCATTTCCACCAAGGAGGAATGTATTTTTCGAAAAGTGTGAATCACCCTTTAAATGAATTTGAGCAAAGATCTTTGAAAATTAGTTTTAGGCTGATCGGATGGCACAGAAAAAATTTTCTTTGCGATTTTTGCACACATGCAAGGTGAATTTCCCGAACTCCCATCAACGTATGTTTATATGGCTTAGTAGTGTTATATGGATTTGGAGACAAAAGTATTTATGGATCCCAAAAAAGAAATTTTTGTCTGAGTGAATTTCGTTCCAAATTATTATTTAGAAATGTTTGAGATGCGGCATGATGCTTCCGTGTGCATCTTTTGTTGTTAAAACTGCATTTACTACAAAAGTCATTTTAGCACTGGCAATACTGAAAAGCACTGAAAAACCGAAGTTCGGAATTTTTAGCGAAACACACCATTTTGTAGCATTTCACCTTTGACTCACCACGTTTGCTTCTGCAGTTAATGCAGCTAAAAAAAGTATCTGCAGTACTAGCTCTTAGAAACCTTTTTGTATAGTACTGAAATTATCCATATAGTTCTTGATTTAATAAACTTTATTTAGCAATGAAACTAAATTTCGGGCATATATATCATACTTTATATTTTACTTTAATATATAATTATTCAATACTTTAGTTTTTATTATTATTTTTTCACTCACTTTATGAGCTCGTTTTAATCAAGTCCAAAAGTGCACACATCTATTGTAACTCTTCACACATTGCATCGTGCAGCACTCCTCGGCGTGGAAACATTTTTTGTGAACTCCTTGGCAGTTGTCTACCATTGCCTCGATTTGCTTCTGTGATTGAAAGATAGACAGGCGATAATTAATTGTTGTACATATATTTGTAATATTGTTATATACTGCCTATACCTCTGTTAAATTCTTTGAGGGACCCATTACTAAGTGTTGTAACACTTTATGCTTATTCGTCGCAGTCAAATGGTATTTTTTCCATTCTGTCGTACCCATCGGAACAGCACATTTACCTGCTTCAATATACATAAGCCAAAATAAAATGCTTAGAAACGGTTGCATTTTATTTATAGCTTATTTTTCTGATTGATTGCAGTAGTTTATTTCGAAATGCTTTTATAGGCAGTTCCAACAGAATACATATCATTAGGGAATAGGTCTGCGTTTATAGTTGGTGCAAAAAACCACATGTGGGTGTTGTTTTATTAGATTATGTTTCGAGTAAAATGTAATAGATTTACATTTAATCAGCTTGTAAAACGGTGCTTTTGGTTTGCTGATAGTTGACCATACAGTTGTGCATACAAATATGATATACCCACTTTTGCATTGACTATTTGCTTCCAAATTAACTGAAATAATCCATTTTACATTAATAGGCATTTTTTTGCCTACGAAATGTAAATAATATAAAGTCGAACTTTTTTTTCAAGATATGCCAGACATGATATTATATGAGAACTAAAAATATATTAGATGTAATACATTGGCCGTAATTAATGTTATTAAATACAATGATATTTTACTACACAGAAATTGTTCTGTTTCTAGATTTGAAGCAATAATAAAACAAGTAAGAGGTTCTAGTCGGGAGCTCCCGACTAGGGGATACCCTGCACCCTCTTCTTCCAACAGGCGATAGGTATAAAATGAAAGATACTTGATATATATATACTATTCTAGAAGCTACATGTCAAGTTTGGTGACTCCAGCTCATATTATTTACCGAAATTGCCCAAAAAAAACAGAATTTCGATATCGATTTTTATTGTTTACTTGGAAACGGGGCAAGTTATCGAATATCGGAAACAAACTCGATCTGCGCGGGGACTATGAGGACCTACAGCTAAAATCTCTCAGCAAGTCTCTAACTTATAGGTTCTGAGATCCTTGCGTTCATACATACGGACAGACAGACGGACATGGCTGAATCGACTCGGCTATTGATGCTGATCAAGAATATATATACTTTATGGGGTCGGAGATGCTTCCTTCTGCCTGTTACATACATTTGCACAAATACATTATACCCTCATTACCCATTTTTAATGGGTTCAGGGTATAATTAATAACCACGCTAGTCTGATATTTAGTTTTGTAAAGTCATTACACCTTTACTGAGTACAAAGCAATGTCTTCAATGAACAACAAAAATATTTTAATTTTAATCACAGTCATTCACTTTCCAATCTTAGTTCCTTCATGTCATAGTAAACACATTTCCTTCGCTTGATACATTGCATACTGCAACAGTCCTCGGCCAATCGGCATCTATAACCAAGGGGCTTGCAATTATCCATATATAGTGACCGTTGCGCCTGAAAGTGCATATAAATTATTAAGTATTATTATTAATAATGTAAAATACCCATAATCAGCCAGTACATTTGTCATAGTTTTGGAGCGTTTAACAAGCATAAGTTCCAGTTGCTTATACCTAGGCATTTTTGTCGATGGCGCTGTCAATTTGTAGAATACATTACTTTTTAAATAACTTTTTCCAGTTGTAACGAGCAACAACAGCCACAGGCCTAATACCAAGCACATAATTCTTGGAGACTGTTGCATTTTGGATATACGTCAATTTCGGAACGTCAATACTCTTCTGACTGCACTGGCAAATTCGAAGGCTTTTATATGAAGATCTAAGATGTTGACGGGGCTTAAAGAGTTCTAAGAAAACACTTGTGGTTACAATTTGATTTTACAAATGCCTTAAAACTTAATGAGTGGAAGTTGTTATCATGAGTGAGTGGCCTTTTTCCATTTGTACCTACAGTTAGTATGCTGTACATGACAAAAAGTTTCGTACCTTTGATTCGCATAGGTTGTCTCTAAGGCATCTGTTGTTCTGTTCCAGCTCGTCATTTTCTGCGGTAATATAAACATATCTCATATCTGATTCTGGATCTGCATCTCTTTTCCTGGCTGACAGTCTGAGCAATATCTTTCCTTCATATTAAGCCACCTGCCCTTGTTCGTTAAAGAATCATAAGTTGGAATCAATGGCCTACGCCTATGTTAGTCTTGTTGTGAGAAGCTTTAAGCGGAAGAGTTATCTTTCGTTCTTTAATGAACGAATTTACCAGCATTTTCCATCCAGGAAAAACATTTCTATATCGGATAAGTTTTAAAAAATATCTTTGAAAATTATTTTGAGCTGGTAAGGATGGTAAGCAAAAAACTATCATACAATCATTATCCGCCAATTTACTACAGTTGCGGATGGAATTTCCGAAATCGCTAAACCTCATATTAATTTAGTTATTTTTTAGGGATTTGAAAATAAACTTAAAGCAAATCGGACTTTACTTAAAACTTTCCCCAAAAAAAACGTTGAATCGTATTTACCACAGAGGATTGCATTGATTCTGCAAAAGTGTGAAACACGTCTCAAATGGTTATTCGTAAAGATCTTTAGAAATGAACTTTAAGGCCGATCGGATGAGAAACAAGCAAAACAAAGTCTTACACAGTAAACTATAATAAAATATAATTTAATTGCCCGCATGTTTTTCTACGTAGCCTAAACACAGAGAACGTATATTGCGATCAGCCTATAAAATCTCTGCCTACTACCTCGGCAGTAGAATATTGACTGATATAATAATGCATGCGTTTTTAACGATTAACTTGTTGATATTAGCCCTGTGGATTGAGCTGTTTGGAATTGGAAAAAGTTTTGAAAGCGCTATGCACCAAAGATATCCATATTTCTCGCCGGCTAAACAGATTATGTTGAAAAGCTCAACAATGACCCCGTTCAAAAACTAGACTGAGGTATTTATTTTCAATCGATTTATACTATTTGTCAAATGCTTCTATTTTTTCGAGTTTAGGCCGATCGCAGAAAAAACTCCTTACTCCTGAATCTTAACGAAATATTTTATGTAGAGCTCAACTTAATAACCAAACTGAAGTAGAATAAATTTATTTGGAAAATTAAGTTTGAATATGCACAAGCATTATCTTAGGCATTCTGAAGTTAGCTTATTTTCGCATGATTTCCTTTTCCTTTGAGTGGGAAATAAATGTTATTATATGGCCACGCTTTCCTTCCGGACAATCGGACAATAAATTGAATCAGAATCCACCATGAGTACACATAACTGTACAGCAACACTTTGTAATTTGTGCATTATTTATTCGTTTGTGGTTGTTGTCAGCTGGTGGATTTATGTGCTGCACTTGTTACTCATACGCCATGTTGTACATGCGCACAGTGGAAGACAAATCGAATGCACTTGCTCTGTCATTTTGTTTGTTTTTTTTTTCTTTTTTGCAACACGAAGAAAGACCAGTCCAATAATTTATTGAGCACTTTGTTATGCCCAAGACGGAACTCCAGGAATGGGAGAATTAACCTTACTTAAGGTCAACAGATAAACATTTAATTGAATGAGAACAGTTTTTACAGTTTATCTTAGAGAATCTAATTTATTTTACCTTTCAAGCGAGGTTAAAAAAAAGATTTATCGTTCAATTAGGAGAAAATGCACTATGCAATGTTCTTTTGTGACTGGCTTGCCGGAAGCCTGACACGTTCTCGCGCACTCTTGGTATTATAAGTTGAATTTCTTAATCAGTATCGATTATCTATGATATTGTTACGATCATATGGATTAGCATATATAGTATTTGAAACCTCTTGTATGGAGCACTCTTTATATTAGTTGATTAGCTAAAAAAAATGCACTCTTCTTTTATCCATGATGCTGTCAAGTCCGTACAGAATGGGTTTATATATCAACTAACGTAATTCATAAATTTACCCATGCTAAATAGGTAATTTCTTCCACAGAAGTTGCTGATCTTCCAACTTCACATTTCTTATCAGCATTATGATAGAACCTATAAAAAGATGTCGTAGGTTGTTGCTCGGCTCGAGCCGTAACATGTTCTACGCAACATGCTTGAAGCATTTACTGACAGAGAACATTTTATCTTTCTGTTTCGTTTACAGATGAAAATTTCCCCATGTTTTGCTATAAAGCTTTTCTGTTAATTCAAACCGAAGCGTTTCCATAATATGAGGAACAACGGCAAATGTTTACAGTTTAGTTCAATGTGGATTTTTATTATGTGCGGCCCATACGCGGGTGACTGCATTTATTTTTATTTAATTATTTATTTATTATTGGTCGACAAAACGAGTGCCAACCTAAGTATTTAATACATAGGAATAGAAAATTTTAAAAGGTTAAAGGCTTTTAATCAGAACACACAAATATTTTATAGCATCATCGACACAATATTTTTGCATTTCCAAAATTTCGGAATACATTCTGAAATTTATAATTTAATATATATAATTGTATCTTCAATGAAAATAAATACAAAATAAACATGGATGTCTGAAGCGTAAGGCCCCCAATTTGTATACCCTGTTCACAATACGAAAAGTGGATCGGATTTGGTCAATTTACGACATTCCAACTGCAGTCCGTATATACGTATAAACGTAAATTTTCAGCTCTATTTAAGCTAGAAACTGATGATATAGCTTAAATTATATTTAGTTTTTAAAAGATTGGGGTATAAAAAGTTTTGTAATTAGACAACTAATGAGCTCTTTTGAAGATACTTGCCCAAAACATTTTTGCAGGCTTAGCCCCAAACATTTGCGGTGTCAGTTTTAGAGTCATCAACTCAATAATCTATACTAGGCTAGACGAGACTAGAATATTCAAATTTACCTGATAACTAAACTAGACCGGTAGACTAGTCTACCAAGGAACTAGTCTAGAATCAGCACAAATACATGAATAAGTCTTGAATCCGACTATCTTTTGCCTTGAGTGCCATACAGTGAACTGGCTGCAACGCGGCACAGGAGCATGCTGATGTGCATTTGCATAAATTCCACACAGTCACAAAGTTACGGTGATACGTAATTAAAGCCATGACAAGCAGCTTCATTAACAATTCTGTCTCTTTCCACAGTAACAACAATTTGTTACTCTTCTCCGTTTTTTTATCCGGGTGCACCGAGGCCAGGTGCAGAGAATCCAAGGAAGTCCTGCAATTTGAACACATGCCCGGACTGGTCGGCACGTTTGAGTCGTCCCTTTTGCCTGCGATGAGTTACTGCAGGTAAGCTTATAGCCGCGTCTGTGTCCTGTTTGCTGGCCAGCCATGCGCGATTCCAAGTTAAGCATACCGCAAGAGTCCTTAGACTTCGTGGATTGAACGCAACTTTCCAAGTATGTGAAATATGCAGACAATGTGTCCACTACTATCGGAACTCTGCTCTTCTTTGCATAGTCGAACCATGAAGGAGATTACATATACATAAGTATAATTTTTGGAGTCCAAAAATTTCCTTTTTGTCTAGACTGAGTTAAGCATGTGTTTAACGCGTCTTTCCATTTCAATTATCATTTACTTTGAGGTGATTTAAATAACGTGTGGTTAAACGACAAAATTCACTGTATCCACCCACGTTTCACGCTTGCGGGTGGAATATTAAATAAATTTTCAATATTTATATTTGCACACAGTTCTTTTAGTTAAAACTTAAGATTTCCTACCCTTTAACTCAATTTTCTACATTATATTTGTAATTATAAAGTTTCATATCTACTCTTATTTGGGAATATTTGAGCTAGTGAGCAATATTTTGCATTTTGCAAGTAAGTGACTTTTAATGTTCATTGTTCAAACTAATAAAAGGTTTATTCCAATATTTTCACCTATTGTCCACATATCTCAGTTTAACTCTGTTTATTTTTATCTTGTAGTATTCCCTTCAATTGTGAGTTTTGAAGACTTTAAGCTTAATTCCCTACTTTATATACATTTTGTGTGAAAATTATGCCCATTTCTTTGCTTTGCACGTAGTTCGCCTATAAAACTTCAGTCAATTTAATTTCATTTAATTTACATATTTCTATGGGAGACACATACTACAAGATTCAAGTTTGTCCTCACATTGTTGTTTGGCTCAAAAGGATGTTACCAGCATAGTGTGGAGGGCTAAGAAACTGTCTATCCGCATGAATGAATTGTTTGTGAATTTTTGGTTTTGTTAAAATGCATACCCTACACTTCATGGGTATATTGGGTATTACAGATTATATCAGAACGCACACTTGTAAATTGTACTGAAGAGATAGTCACATTGTATCTACAAACTTATTTGATATTTGTTTTAGGGTTAGCGGTAATTAACTGTACCATTTTTAAAACAGGGTATATCTTCATATTGTGCAAAATATCATCATTTGTATGTTGAACTCCCTGCTAATAAAATTCCAATTTGTATTCAGTTAAAGGAATCTCGAATTGCTACAGAATTAAATTCTGCCACTTTAAAAACCTTCGCCTTCTATTTTATTCATTACAGTTTTGCTTATACTTGGTTTTCATTTACATTAAACATAACAATTGTTGAACAAAATAAAAACGAAATGGAATTGCATACATTTATGAAAGTTTGTAGAATTTTTTTCAACAATATGGCATGTTTTAAACATTTTATGAAATTGTATGCCATATTTTGAGCATTGGGCGATGGCAATAAAAATGGAAGCTACAACCATGCGAATTAAAGAAACTGTTATATTTATATTTAAAGTTTAACATTAATTTTAAAACGAGAAAGATAAGCAAAATGTTACTATTACAATGCTTGCAAACAAAAAATAGTTTACCAACGAGAATAATCTGCTTAAACCGTGTAATATATATGCATGCATAAATTATGGCTTTAAAGATTAACATTTGTTTGAATTAACTTAAAGTCGCATATGT